AAATTTTATTTTATTTTAGAGGAAATGGGCTCCCATTTCAACTTCAAAATTAGATCCAAATGGATTAGGAGAAGAAAGGTGTTAAGCACTCCTCTCTTCAAGCTACTATAGTAGCCCAATATAAGAGTTGTTCAGGCATATTATTCCAAGGATTAGCTTCAAGAAAAAAGAGGTCAAAACACCAAAACATTAGGAGAAGATTCCAAACTTCCTTTAGACTTAGTTTGAGGTGATGTTATCAGGAGTTGGGTACTACTTTCTCCAAATCCCTTGCTTCTCTACCTCATTCTTCAAGCATAAATAAAATATGGAATGAACTAAAACAAATTACAAAAAAAAAAAGTTAAGAAACTTCTTAGATGTAGCCTTGACTTTTGGGGAAGATTGGAAGCTTAAGGGTTCAAGACTTAGGAGTTTCTTGTAAGAAATGAAAATGAAATCTCTCCAATGGTTCAAAAATGCTTCCTACTCATCTCCCTCTCCTTTTGGGCTCGATTTGGGTTCTTCTGAAGAGATAAGAGGAAACAGATCTAAAACGCATCCAATTACAAGGTTTGGGTTTCAAGAAAGCATTTTCATGAAAAAGGTAAGAAATTTTCAAATGGTGAGTTTTCAGTCAACTTTCCTTAAAAATGCAACATTTCTCCTCAATTTAGGGTTGATTTCAAGGGGTTTTGTGTATCCAATGGCAGTTTAGGGCATTCTAGGCATTTCTTATTCGAATTTGGGGCTTTCAATGGTACAAAATGTAAATATAGGTCAACTATAAATGTCATTATGTCTTTTTCTACCTTTAAGTATGGGGTATCTATGGGTTTTTGGGTTTTTACTAGTCCAAGTAAATTGGGGGTCAAGTGGAGGTCTAACATCACTCCTCACCCTCTTGAGATCTTAAAATGGAACATAGGAAGGGGAAATTTAATCTAATGCATCGAAACAAAATCTTTTTAGTTTAATGGTCAAATGAGTGAATTAGATTTGAAATTTGACATACTATTTTTTTGGGTCTTTGATCATGGTGGTGAGGTCTTATTGGTTAAATAAGGCTTCAATGGTGAAGATTTATGACTGATATGATTTAATTAATGAGATTTGTTAAAATAGAATCTTGGCTTGAAAGTGGGTCAAATGAGAGAATCATAGGATGCAATTTGGTGGGTAAGCATTGGGGTGTTGATCATGTCTTATTATCCTTGAGGCAATGGATGTGCTAGATTTGATTTTGTGAAGTCAAGGTTTGAACATAGATTGTGACTGTTAAAAAGAAAGTTGGTATGATCGTTAGATCTTTGAAGTTTGGTCATGAAATTTAATGTACAACTAAGTTTTAGTTTTCTATGTCTAAGGATTGTGTTTGATAAGGGTACTAAAGCCTGTGTAGTGTTAGATGTTGATATCAATATTCTAGTGAACTAGAGGATAAGTTTATTAGTCTAATTTAGTCAAGCATTTGACATGTGGATTATGTCGAAAAAAAGGAAATTTTAGGTTTTAACAAATCTGAAGTTAATTTAGTTATGTTTTCAAGTTTTGGAGTCTAAAAAGAGGGTATAAAGAATAAGGTGAAACCCAACAAAACTTGGGTAAAGTCATCATGTAGGTTTAAGTGGAAGATTTTACCTACCCCAACATAAGAGCATCGAATTGAATTATCTGTCTAATATGAGCCTATCCAAGCTAGATGGATCTTGTACTAAAGTACTTACACCATGATCACCTGCCTGTGAACAAAGTCGAAGATCAAAAGGTTGTATGCAAGTCAACAAGGTAGGTATTGATAGATGACAAATAATATAGAAAATCTTTCACACTGCCCTACTTGAGATGTTTAAGGCCTAAGGAGGGAGACTACATCCGCAGGGAGATATATGAAGGCATCTGTGGCAAGGCTATTTTTTACCCACTATGAAGGAAGGCACAATGAGGCTTGTCTACAAGTGTGACCAATGTCAATGGCATGCCAATGTGCTATACTAGACTACAACTTCCTTCAATTTTATTAGTAGTTTATGGACTTATACTCAATGGGGAATGGGCATCCTTGCATTCTTTCCAGCAGCTTCAATTTAGAAAAAGCTTTTTTGATTATGTCCATTGGCTATTTCACAAAGTGGTTGATCTGAACCCTTGACAAAGAACAAAGGTAAAACATTCAAAGTTTTTTTTAGAGAGCATTATTTTTCACTAGGTTTACCTCAGACCTTAATTACAAACAATAGAAATTAATTCAATAATTGAAAGTTCATATACATTTATGCTAACCTCGAAAAGGAAGAAATGGTGAAGAACTCAGAGCAAACTTTAACCAACTAGAAGAGGTTTAAGAGCAAGCCCAAATAAAGGTGCCTACCTACTAGTAAAGGGTTACTCGATATTATAATGACCAGGACCAAGGTCGACAATTTTGGATTAGCCTCATTCTCAGGTAGGGGTGTAGTTGAGCCAAGTCGAGCCAAACTTCTACATGTCTTAGCTCAGTTCAACTAAAATACTATTAGTCTCAACTTTGAATTCGATTTAAACTCCATCTCTTGGTTCAATCTTGGTTCGACTAAATATTCGATGAGCTCGACTTCGGCTTGAAAGCTTGAAAATGAATATGTTTTTATATTTTATAAATTTATACGATATATGCCAACACCCAATTTTGCTCGGTTATTTGCCTAAACCCTGAACATCCAATCAAACCATTTTGATCCCTCAAAAGCACCAAAAAAAAAAACCCAAAGAGCTCGATCTCATCCCCAAATCCTTTAAATTCACCATTGAACTCCCAACCGAACAACCCTAATTGAACTTCACCTACACTATCACCATCAAATCAAATATGACCATAAACTAAAGATTTTAGGGGTTTTTACAGTTCAGTCCACCCCGAGGTGGAGCTAAGATTTCTAGGGGTGAATTGAATCCTGACCGTGGATTGATGCCAAATCCACGGGCAGGATGCGATTTATGGGGGGGGCGCTACTAGTAGACTAGGAGAAGGCTGCAATTTCAGATTTATGAGGTGGATTGCAGTTCACTTATCCCAAGATTTTATTTCAATGATTCCAATTAATCGATAAATAAAATCTTAAAAGCCGTTCCATCCCATCTCACTAATTACAACAGATCCTATAACTAAGCCTAAAAGCCCATACTCATCCAACCAACAAAATTCCAAGGCCAAGTCCTCCAATTTGACCCACAAATAATTCAAGATTCTATTTCAAGAGCCCACATTAGCTAATTCTGTGTGACTCAAGATACTTTCAACCCTTAAATGTTCCATTCTACCCATCCAATTAAAGATTCATCTTTTCTACTAAGTTCCAAGCATCCTAAAATACCTACTTCTAAAGTTTCAACTCTAAACTCCCTTATTTACGCTCTCATCAACCCAAGATTCCATTTAAACCCTTTCATAAACCTAAACATATGTAGCCCAAATTCCCATGATTTCAACACCTCTAAACCAATCAGACAGTACCATCAGACCCCAAATGTCATAAAACACCTACTCGCAAAATCCTAACTCAAAATTCCCTCATTTACCCCTTCATCAAAATAAGATTCATTTTTTCAACCTTCTTGTTGGTCTAAACACCCACAAGCTAGATTCCCTTGAGCCAACCAAATAAACAAACCACTTTGACCTTATTAGACAAGGTCTAGATTTTTATTATAGTCCCAATTATTAATAAGTTCACTTTTAGCTTATGAGATATCTTCGAATATTTTATATGTTTCTCTTATAGTTGATCGTGTAGCAAATGCTTAAAACTATCACCTTATAGGGAATTATCTTGATAAAAAAAGTAAGAAATTTAGCAAATTTAGGGTCGTTTGGTTCATAATCAAAATCGAAATCAAAATTTATTAGAATTAGAATCGGAATACTTTATTCCTATAGTTTGTTTGGTTCTGACAACAATTGAAATGGAAATTGAAATCAGCTGGAATGAGATTTTATTACCAATGGAGGGGGAGGGAATGGTGATTCCCTCAAATAGGGGAATGCCATTCAACCAGAAATGGGAATGGGAATGAGATTCCAATTCCGCCCAACCAAATAGTTGGAGTCCATTCCAATTCCAAACTCATTTTCCCACGAACCAAACAAGCCCTTATTGTCAAATTTCAAAGCCTGATGTGGGCCTGGGCCATGCCTAGGTCCAATATCAGAAATCTGGTCTAGAAATGATCACCCCTACCTATTGCCACACTGTGTTCTCACCAATGTTTTCAACCCGGCTAGTCAAACAGTTCGAACCGTCATCCAGCTAGGACAGTTTGACCTGATGATCGGGTTGTAAATTGCACACTAAATACATGCAAACTTTCGGAGGCCATACTTTGCACTCCAATGTCCAATTGGGATGATTTTTTTTTTTATTTATTTTGGATAACTTTTCAAGATCTATGCGTCCCAAGGAGCCGTAGGCACCTTGCCCTACTATTTTCACAAAAAACCCCACATTGGCCTCAAATTGCAATATTTAATATTTTTATAAATAAAAAATTAAAAAACATATATTAAATATAAAACAATACATATAACATATCTAAAACATATTCATGCATTATTCATTGCTAAAATATATATATTTATACACATACACAAACTTAATACATATATACACTGACATGGCACAATCTGAACCGTTTGACCCAGCCGATAGAACCGGTGACTCACGACCTAGAGGCAAAAATGGTTCGGCCTCCGGGTCGATTTTTAAAACATCGGTGTTCACTTGTTTCTAATTCTTTCTAATAAGGACATTGATCCAGGTTTCTTGTCCTCAGGGGATTGCTTGGGAAATCCATCCAAAGCCTTAATGAACGCATTGAAATTTTTAGCTTTGAAAATTTCGCAGCCAGTTCATCCTTATTCAGTTTCAAGCACTGCACAGTCAAAAATCTAAATCCTGAAATTTCATTTTCCAATCTTAATTCCCCTGATTACGGAAGTTTTTCTTTGGGAGACTACAGAATTGGATGTAGAGAAGACTGTTAAGTAACCAATGCAAACGATTCAATCAAGTGTAAAGGACCACTTTCAAATCTCTTTCCTTCTGATCAGAAATCACTTATCGTTTTGATTCTTCCATGCAAAGCTCTAAAGCTATCAACGTAGGAAATATAATTTTTCATAAAAAGAAAAATTATTGGGTTTATACATAAAGAATTTCTAATGGGCTCTTCACCAAACCAATCAGAACCATTCAACTTTCAAGATTCTCTAAGATCCAAGGGCCTGAAATACTTCCCATCTAGAAGATAAGTGCCAATGGCAAGACGAACTGCCCATACATCCTTGGGCTTTCTTGCCACAATTCTGCACAACATTACACATTAGTAAGTAATAAGAAATATATCATCTAGTCATCTATTTCACTTGTGGCCCAAACTGGCTTCTGAAAAAGCCATTTTCTGAAACGTAACAGCTGTAAAAGAGCTTTCTTAGTGTTTAATTGATCACCAGCTTTCTTATTCAAAATAGCTTCTTGCAAACATGAAAAGCACTTTTTTTCTGTTTTTTCAAATGAACTCTTTTTATGCGAAAACCCCATTTACAGCTTTTTCTCCAAACAATTTTTTAATTGGCTTTTGGCTTCCCCAAGGGAAAAGCACAAAAGTCAGTCGGAGAGGCACTCCCAAATGTGGTAGAAGTAAAAAATCCCTTATTTTTCTAGAGTTTTATTCAATTTGGATTAATGGGGAAAGAACAATATTTCCTTCTGCACATACAGGTTTTCTTTATATGTCCATAGAGGGCGGAAGAAAGCAAGAACTACTTTGGTGAATTGCTTCATTTCTATGGGAAATGAAGACTGAAAGAACTTTTTTTTGTTAAAAATAAAAAATAAAAAATAAAAAAACTGGGGTGAGAAGAAAACCAATCCATGATTCTTTTATAGTAATATTTGTCAAAGTATTTGATGCAATTGGATTTTAGTATGCATGAGCAGTACAAATTTTGTGCTAAACAGAAGAAACAAAGATTACCTTCCAACATCACCCTCTTTCACTAGACCTTCATTAAGCCTGAGACATGGAACTGAAGCTGCAGTTTTCAATGTCTTCGGAGCTTCAGTGACGATTATTGGAGACCCAATCTGAAGTTTCGAATTCCTTTCAGACGAATCCGCCTCTGGAGATGAGGGCGTTGATTCACATTTAATAACTACTACAGATGATGGGTTCCGAATTCGAGGGTTTAAGTGGTTTGGTTGCAGGGAGGGAAGCTTAGACTGTGGGATTAGAGTGCTTGAGAGAGAGAAAGCCATGAATAAGAGATAAGAAGAGAGAGAGAGAGAGATGTGCGACTCTGTCAAGTTAATGAACCTGGTCTTCATGTGGGGTTGTGATAAGATACTACTGAACTATTATAATATGATGTTACAGAATCATTGTGGAATTCTCAGGGCTTTCAGTCAGGACTCAGGAGGCTTGGTATGAGTTCTGCTCAACCTGAACCCGACCCAAAGTTGCTCTAACCAAATCCGGTCCGACCCAATTAAATGAAATAGGATACATTTTTTTTGGTAGAAAAATAGGGTACACATTTATAGTTAACTAAAGCTATGTCTACAATCGTTTCATGTTACAATGTCAGTGGGTCGGGTTTGGCATGGGTTAATCTCAACTAAACCCAGCCGAAGACCTGATTAAGGCTGGCCTGACCCTAACCCTATAGGGTCGGGTCAATGTGGATTTACCACTTAACCGAATCCATTTACATCCCTAGCCATGGCCAATTTGTGGATCCTGTTTAATAGATGTCAAATTTTTATAAGGAATGGTATCCAAACCAATTCTGCATCTCCTACCCACGACAACTCTGCCCACACCCTCACTAGGGATGTCAACGGTTTGGGTTTGGCATAGGCTTGTTTCAACCCTCTAGCACTCCAATCCGAAAGTGACCCAACTCGGCTAAAAAATACATGATTCTCAAACCCGATTCTGACCCAACTTGACCCGTATAATTTCAAATGTATTTTTTAACACATTTTGAAGACTTAAAATACATTAATTTAAGTAAGGAAATTGTTTTATAGATTCTAAGGTGTTATTTTTTCCATTTAAAAATAAAATAAAATAAAATCAACATATAAATAAATTATAAACTTTAAGCCTATAAAGTTAGAAGTCAAAAAATTACAAGAATACTTAGTATATATGTAAGATATCATGATCCGGTGGGGCAGGTCAGCCAAAACCCGAACCCAACTTGGGTCAAAGGATCAAAACCTTAACCCTATAAGGTCAGATCAAGCTGGGTTTACCATTTAACCCGACACATTGACATCTCTACTACTCACTAAACACTACCCCAGTGCATTGGGAAACATCTCCCCATGCATAACACCATATAAAGGCGTGAAATGTTCCCCATGTATAGTTGCAATCTCATGTGTGTAGATGTGAGTAGGAAATCCAGACTCATCCAAACCATGGGCTGAACTGATTTTACGGAATATGGTTTGATTACATTTTTTTAGGTATTTTTGATGATACACCGGAATCCTCCATAGGGGCCATTTAAATAGCACAGCACCACGCTAATAACCTCCATCCTCAATTGCAAGAACTGAATTCACGTCTCTACTGGAACTAATCAGCTAATATACCAACAGAGCCACCCCTTAGTTGGCGATTGGATGGTTGAGATCCCAATTAGATTGGCATAAGTAATTTAAAATTGGCCAAGACCAGGCCAGGAGTCAATGCACTGTTGGGATGTGCTATGGGACATGTGTGGGATGCACTTTACGGGGAGTCGATTCTCACGATGCATTCCTTACAATACATTCCAGCTGCACATGGGAACATTTCCCATACTTGTATGTTGTTATTTATGGGAGATGTTCTGTAAGGTCAATGTGAGGAGTAAATCCCAATTTATTTTTGCTATTCTATGATATCTCCAATTTGTCAAAATGACATAATTTTTGAGTTTCAACTATTCAAAGCAGTTATCAAACTTTTTTATTAATATTATGCCAATTAATTAAAAATCAAAAACAAATAAAAAACTAAGGCCCCATTTACTTTTCGGTAAGTTATTTACTCGGGTAAATGCACTTACCTGAGTACATTTTTCCTAAGAAACGCTTACCCAATTAAATGCATTTACCCATGTTCTTTTATTTCTAATGTAAATAAGGCAATGACTATTTTAGCCATAAAAATCCATTATTAAAAATGGCATTTTTGTCCCATTCAAGTACTGGCAACTTTCCTCTTAGGTGGGAAAGTTATTTATCCACCTAGGAGATGGGTATCACTTACTACCCAGGAAAATAACCTTTCCCTGTTCACCACATAAATCTGAAAAAGGAACATGGGATTCTTGGTCAATGGGAACCAAAATCCCATTGACCAACTTTCTCCCCTCTCAAAATCCGAAAAACGAACGCCCCCTAAAGGATAACTTATAAACACCAACCCTGTAATTAGGGAGTTATAAGTTTATAACACTTAGCCCACGAACTATGTTTTGCTACACTCCCCCTCCCCCAAGTACTTTAGATTCCAGCACTTTGATGGTAGTTGGTTAACATTGAAAGTAAAATTACCAGATTATCCATTCAAGAATCTTTGGGCTGAAAGAAACAATGACGAAAATCATGAATTTACCTATTGTAAAGCACAAAACTTGAAGATATCAACCATTCTTTCAGCAGTACTTCCAAAAAAAGGCATGAGTTAGAGAGAAACATTTAAGAGCTAGGGTCCGTTTGCTTTGTAGTCGGAATCAGAATTTAAAACATTAGGAATCAGAACCAGAATGATTTATTCCTCTAGTTTGTTTGGTTCAGACAGGAATGTAATAGAGAATTGGAATCAGCAGGAATATAATTTTATTCCCAAGAGAAGGGCGGGGAATGAACATTCCCTCAAATGGAGGAATGACATTTCAGTAGGAATGGGAATGGGATTCCAATTCCACTCAACCAAACACTTGGAATCGGAATTGCCCATAAAGGTTCTGATACTAAAACCCTATTCCCCATGAACGAAACAGGGCCTTAGTGTTTAGGAACATTTAAATTAAAAGGGAAAATAGTCTTAAAGTACATAAGGATATTTTGGGATTTTAAAATTGTATTAGTCGAGAACATGACAGTCATGTGAGCATATCCCAATTGTCAATGGCCAAAGTGCTGAAATCCAGAAGTATAGGGTGGTCTTTGTCACAACACAAAGTTTAAGGGGTTGAATGTCACAACCCTCTAAGTACAAGATGGGTGTTCATAGTTTATCCAAATAATTAAGGGACCATTGAATAAGGCCATGTTTGGTTCATAGGAATAGGGGTCTGGAATCAGAATCGGAATGGGTTATTCCGATTCCAACTTTGGTTGGGCGGGATCGGAATCCCACCTCCACTCCTGCTGGAATGGCATTCTCCCATTTGAGGGAATGGCCATTCCCTGCCCCTCCCATGGGAATGAAATCCCATTCCTGCTGATTCCAATTCCCATTCCTGTCTGAACCACACAGATAATGGGAAAATATAAGCTATTCCAATTCTGATTCCGAAGGATTTTGATTCTAATTCTAATTCCAACTGCAAATCAAACAGACCCTAATTTTTCTGGATTTAAGTTATTTATGCCAATAATTCACACTTCACATAAACTATCAAATCCAAGGTTCAAATTTTCACAATGTATTGACATATATCATTCGATACGTATCGTTCCAACAAGGATCCAAACATGGAAACTGTAAATTACATTCTTTTTCTTCTGTATCAAGTTGATACAGACTCGTATTGGGTCGTTTGAGGTCAGTATCAGCTAATAAAGACTCGATCTAAGGGGGCGTTCTTTTTTTGGATTTGGAGAAGGGGGGAAAATGGTCAATGGGATTTTGGTTCCCATTGACCAAGAATCTCATGTTATTTTTTCAGCTTTATGTGAGGATTAGGGGAAGTTTATTTTCTTGGGTATCATTTATACCCAAGAAAGTGATACCCATCTCTTAGGTGGGTAAATAACTTTCCCACATAGGGGGAAAGTTGCCAACACTTGAATGAGACAAAAATGCCCCTTTTAATAATGAATTTCTAAGGCTAAAATTGTTATTTCCTTATTTACCTGAGAAATAAAAGAGTATGGGTAAATGCAATTACCTGAGTAAGTTTTTACTTGCCCAAGTAATTGCATTTACCCGGGTAAGTAACTTACCAAAAAGCGAATGGGGCCTAAGTGTATCAGCTAATATATAACTAATTTAAACCCCACTCCCTCTCCCTCTATTTTAAATTGATCACAAATCCACCACAACACCCTATTTTATTTGCTTTTCACAAATATTTATGTTTTTATTCTTAAGTAAGCTTCCTCTTTTAGTGATTGTTTGTCAATGAATTGATTATTAAAATTTAAATATTAAAAAACATTAAGGCAAATTATATTGATTTTCTAAAAATAGAGGTATCTACATACGTAGTTCCATCATTTTACAATGGTTATCAATTGTACCCCTATATTCACACTTAAATAACTTATTTATAGTCATTTGGAACTTATATTTATTGTTATTAATATATTTTGTGGGACTTATTTGAATTTCCTATTGCATCCATGTGTATCCAGATATATCTCTTAAAATTGCCTTTTTTATATACTGTGTTTTTAATACTTTAAACCTTGAAAGAAACATTTTACTTCTTATGTATTGCCTTATTTATGGTCATTTGAGATTTAAATATAGTGTTATTGATACATTTTTAGGGTTTTTTTTTATTTCTTTAAGGTTTGGATGATGATCCATGCTTATCCAAAGCAAAGGTCAAAATATCAATATCGTGTATCATACCAATAAGTTTGGATATGAATATGTAACATGATACAATTGGGATCAACATAGATACTATGGAAAGATATAAGATAAACTTGGATACATTAAGAAAACTCTAACAGATCCCACAAATACATTATTACACTAAATCTAAGGTTGAAAAGCTATGAATCAGGTATAATCACAAAAAAAAAAAAATGCATACTTTAATAGTTTACATGAAGTGATACATTACAATAAACAATGTTTGAAGTCTAAGGTGAGAATATGACCCACTGCTTGGGCTGGAATGAAGATAAGTGTTTAGCACTTGGTAGTTTAGTTGTGGTGGACCAGCTTAGAAAGTAAAGCCATTTTGCAGCTTTGGCCCATCCTTACATTGCAGCTCAGGTGGTTCAGCTCTTCATTCAAGGGGTCTCTCGTTTGCATGGTAATCCACAGTCCATCTTGAATCTTGATAGATCAGGACCCAACCTTTATGAGTCACTTTGATCTGAGCTAAGTATTGCAAGGCCCAAGAGTTAGCTCTCTATCATTCCACAAGTTACCATCCATAAACAGATGGTTGATCTGAAGTAGTAAATTGGTGCTTGGAGACGTATTTGCAATGTTTCACAAGTGACAGGTCCAAGCAGCGGGTCCATTGGCTACCATGGGCTGAACTTTTTGTACAATTCTTTGTACCATGTTCCCACAAGCATGAACCCATTCAAGGCCCTATACAGCAGAGATCCTCCACCCATTCTCAACTACAATGGCAGAAGTGGAGAACCAATTAACTCAGAAGGATGAGGTGCTTCGTTCCCTCAAGGATCATTTATTACGGGCCCAGCAATATATAAAGGCCAAGAGGTTGTGACCCAAGATGCTACCTCATTACTATGGCCCATTTTGCATTATTCAGACAGTGGACTCAGTGGACTACAAGTTGGAGTTACCAGCTACTTTGAAGGAACTGGGGTTTGCTCCTCAGAGCGCTCCTCACACCGACCTCAAAGCCACATCCCACCATGTATTGGGAACATCTCCCATTAATAATAACATATAAGGACAGGAGATGTTCCCGATGTGTAGCTGGGACATGCTGTAAGATCGGTGTGAGGAGCACTCTGAGAGAAGTAGATCCAGACTCTTTTCGTTGCATCGAGTTTTCCATGTGAGCCTCCTCAAACACAGCCTCATGCTGGGTATCCTCCTTCCAGTTCTGCATTACCAATTTTCTCTTCCGATGGGTATAATTGGATGAGCAATTCAAGATCGCCGACTTCAGATGGGTAAAACCGTAAAAGTCCAGTGAAACGGTGGTGAAATAATCTCCTCTTCAGTAGCAATTCCCTAACCTCAACCTTTGAGGCTTGAGGACAAGGTTGACATTGAGAGGGATGGGGGAGTTGATGAGGTTCAGAACACAAAATATATCGCATCAGGAAGACAGGGAACATGTTGACCCAGCCCACAAAGCCGCAACACAACTTCCTTCTCGAAGCCCAGTAGCCCACCTAGTAAATATTTGTATAGTCGCAGCATGCTAGTAACACGTTGACCATGTAAATGTAAAACTACATAAGAGAAAGGAAATGAGAAAGGCAGGCATGGAGTAGTTGAATTCAGTGTTTTCAAAACTGGACCGGACCAGAAAAACTGAGAACCAGTCAGGTGACTGGTTTCGTTTTTCCCCAAAACCACTTTTTGGCCAAAAATCGTTGATTTGGTCAATGAACTGCTGACCAGGTGGTCAAACCATCAAACTGTCATCCTGGACAACATTTTTTTTGTCGCTTTTTTGTTTTTTAATTTTTTGTCAGAGCAGGCCATCCATTTGGACTGGTCCAGTTTTAAAAACCTTGGTTGAACCCATCTTCTTACAGCATGCCTAGTAACATGTGACCATATAAAACTATGTAAGAGAAGGAAATGAGGAAGATAGGCATCAAGTTGAATCTATCTATATTCTTCTCTCTAAGGTTTGAGTTCCCTCGAAGTGACTCGTGAGGTGAGCAGTTACACCACACATCCACATATAAAAATATTGTATAGCATTCCACTAAAACAAACTATTATAGCCTTCCACTAAAATTGCTTCTATAGCCTTTGCAAAAGCGGCACTTAGAACCATGTTCATTCTTTTCTAAATTTGATTTTGTCATTTACATAAGAATAATCTCATATTCATATAGGCCCTTCAGTGCAAGGTTCAACGTACCGATACGTATCATGCCAATAGCTTCCCGATACACCCCTCCAGGGTTTGTATTGGGTTAGACACTGATTCAGAGGGTACTCAGGCCTTAAACTGACCCCTCTGAATCAGTTTCGAAAAAAAATAAATAAAACCTAAAAAAAAGTACCAATAAAGGCCGATACGCCCTGCGGTCGATACTTTGAACCTTGCTTCAGTGCACAAAAAAATAATAGGACAAAATCGATCTAATACAATATAACTGCTTTGACAAAAATAGAGGAAAGAACAAATATAATATCACGGCCACCACATCTTGTAACTTCATTAAACTCAAAATTAACAAAACCCAAAAGCGCAAATATTTAATATTGTACAGTTTATAAGGTTGTTAGGATAAACTTCTGAAAACTGCCTTTGTAAATGCATAGCATGTGAGTATTCTTCAATTTTTCCACATGCGAAGTAACTTTTCCGAATAAAGAATGAAAAGAAAATTGATACTAACGCTAATTTTATATCCCATTTGTTTCTCTTCTAAGTTCTAAAACCACTTTTGTGCAATTCTTCTATTGTGTTTCCAATAGCAAAAGAACAGCTTATCATTGTGTGGCCATTACATCTATAACAGTATCTTCTGCCTTCACTAGGAACTTGTTTTCATTAAGAAAAAAGGTTAATAAACTACAACTTAGAAAGCAAATGAACAAAACAAAACCAGAAGGAAAATACCAGAAAAATTAAAATTACACTTCCCTCGAAGAAAAAAAAAGAAACAAAAAGAAAAGGCTTTACAACATTTACAAAACTTCATGTGGATAATTTGCACATTAGTTCGCATCATCACTGGCCAAAGAAGTGGTTCACATGAGCTCTCTTGACCTGTTAGCCGTGTCAGTTTTTCATTTCTTTGTGTATGAAAGATATGGATCTTGAGCAATGGTTAGAACATCAGGCCTCTCGGCTTGGTTATATGTTAAACATCGCCTTATCAAATCCTACAGAATATCAGAAAATTAAAGCAAATTAATATAATGCAGAGAACAGATCATATCATCTTATACCAGGACAAAACCAAAAATTGAAAGAAACCAAAAGCCTAAATCATTCCACCCTGCAGTTATATATATAGTCTGATGTATTCAATGTTTCCTTCAGTGAGCCTTGTTGGACATTTGAGAGCAAAAAATGGGCTCTTATATCTTGACTTGAGAACAGTCAGAAACAACTAGAAAGAAAATGAAAGCAAATTCTTTTACCATATGGTGATGTACACCTACCCCAAGGAAAACTGGAGATGATATAATGTACATACCTTTGCCTCATTTGAAACAGCAGGCTTAGAAGGGAATTCCACCTTGCGAGCTTTAATAATTGTGTCTTCACGAAGTATCCGTTCTTGGGTCTGATCATGTCCAAAAGGGCGTTTGCCAAAGAGCATTTGGTAAAATAGAATACCAGCAGACCAAACATCAACCTGTTGACCAAGTGGTTTGGATGTTAGCATAGCACAAACAAAGCCTCTGTTCAAGCGAAGGAAATGAAAAGGAAAAGAAAGTGTAAAGCATTGAATAGCAACAGGCCATGGCTGCTTTGGCATAACTGATAAATCAAGTAAGTTTTCCTGAAATAATTGTTAGTTCCAGAATACCAATAGGCCATGGCTTTTGCAGTGAGACCATAAATGATTCAAGAAATAAACATAAATTAAGAGTTCTATGCAATTAACATTGCGTTGAGATATATCATAAAGGCATACCTGCAGGGGTATTTTTAATTTCTACAACACAATTAAACTCAGCACTATTTCCAACTATTTGGGGATGGCTACATGAATCCTATCCCACAATTGTGCTCTATCAGGAGTCATGTTTCATATAAAATAGGAAGTTCTCAAATCATTTTTACAAATTCAGTTCATGTTTTCTGTAGCTTCCCCCCTTGCTCTTTTAGAGACTTCTATTTGCACCAAATTACTCCTCACTGTTGCAGTCATTGTTCATCTACACTCTACACATGACTAAACCATCCCAACCAACCCCCTCCCCCTGGTTTTCACTTTAGAGCCTTCTACCCATTAATAATGGTCTTATGAGTCCAGCATAGTTTTCGAGGCACCAAGGCAAGACTAGATGACAGGGGGGTGCCTTGTCACCAAGTCGCCTAGGCGATGGATTTTTTTTAAGCAAAAAACATATATCCTAGGATAGTTCCCTAGGTTCCATAGCCGTATTTCCTTAATAATTATACATAGCTTCATAAGAAAAGTATAAGTTTCATTTTGAAGTACTGAAAATCAGTATATTCATGAGAAGAAAAAGAAGAAAGAAAAGAAAATTAAAAAAAATAGGGGCTGAACCCCTATTTTTGTTGTAGGAAAAAAAGAAAAGAAAAGGTGGAAGAAAAAAATGTGTTGATTAGACAAAATTTAAAGTTCTCATTTATTGGTTCAGGTTTTGAAGTCTTTGAGGGTTCAATACAGCAGTTAGCAATGTCTATGTTGACAATAAACCCAAACAAATAAGGAAATACTAAAAAGAAATCAGTATATAAACACACAAAATGAATATCTTAGTTTAATAATGTCTATTTTATAATTATAATCTCAAAAAATTAAGAATACAAAAGTATTTCATAACATTATATACAAAACTTCTTGGTGATTAGGCAAGGTGGGCCTCCAAGGGCACCTTGTTGAATAGGTGTCACCTTGACAACTATGGAGTCCAGATCTGGTAGGAACACTGAGTGAGCACACTGCATAAGCACTTCATCAGAATGTTGACACCAGTCCCTGAAATACCTCCCAGTCTATTTTCTACGCATTTATGGGACATGTGTCAGCAAAATGATTATGTGCCTATCCAGTATGTTCACCAAGTGTGCTACCAGATCCGGTCCCTGGTCTTATTACCGTTAGGAACAGTGATATATGCTGATAACAGAACACAGACGAGGCACTTCTCCACTATATCCACCATGCAGTGTTATAAATGCAGTGAATCGATAACTAGTTGTTTTCACCTTTGTTTTTTCAGAGTGTACAACTTTTGTCCATTTGATGTATCCCTTGTTTCTGGCAATTCTATACCAGCACAGCATTGATTAGAAGAGAACCTAAAAAAGAACCTAACCTCCACTTTCATCTTTATGTGTTATTTCTATATTAAAAACCATCAACCAACCATATTCTATAATAGTGGAATTTTCAGTTGGGCAAAGTAACAAGTGGGGGAATCTGACACCATACAAGGGGAGTGGAAATGTATCATAGGTGGGGGTTTTGGAAAATAAAATCAGAAAATAAATAAAAATTTGTGAGGTGGAATAAAGTGAGGATTTCTCTTTATAATAAACACCTGAAGCAACAGCATGCACATAAACAATAAAAGCATATATGCTATTGTTTTAATAAAAAAGAGATGAACACAGACAAAAATATTAAATCATTTGCACTCTGTAAGTTTAAAATTTGCCTGAACTTAATCTTTATATAGTTTTAACTCTCGAAGTCTACTGGGCAACTTGATAGCCAGGTCTAGTGATGAAACCCAATATAACATTAAGGCACATGGAGCCTCACAACTATTGTGGTTCAAGAATCTTTGGAAAAATAGTGGTCAAGTTTGAAAGTCCAATGGAAGTTTACTATGATAATCAAAGCTCTAATAAAAGTTGTTCATAACCCAATACAATATGAACAAACCAAACACATTGAGGTAAACATACATTTTATCAAGGAGTCAGTTGCATGTGTAGAAACTTGTTTATATTTTTAAGATTTGAAAGTAAGTTAACAGATGCATTCATCTTCTCTTATTTCTCTCTTCATGTCTTATTGCATATGAAGGATAAAACTGATTATTCAAACTGGTATCCCAAGGAGAAGAAAACTGCAACAAGTCAAACTCATAGTGTTTTGGAGCCCTTGATACAACTCAGAGTCAGACTAAAAGAATGCCCTAAGATTCATGTGACACAAAATACTCAGATGTTTTACATTATCAATCAAGACGTTTTACTTTATGTGAGACCAGCACCCTCTTTAAAATAATATATTATAACAATTACTGGAATCCACCAATTAACTTACTCCAATCTAATGGTTGCTAAAAGTTATTGAGCTAATTCATTTACTAGAATCCGTTTGCTTGRACCCCACTTCTTCTKATCAAAGGGTTTGGACTCCTCTTCCAAAAGGTACTTTTACTTGCTCTTCTTTTCTAAAATCCCTCAGTTTTAACCCCATTTCCCAAGGATTCCCTGTCAAAGAAGTCTGGG